TAATTTGCCGACAAAAAAAAAAAAACTGATTACTAATGCTATTAAAACGCCGTAAAAAAAAAAGCAAAACAAATTATGCTACTAAAACCGGTTATGATATTAAGAAAATTGAAAACTACAACAACTGATACCACAATTTAAAACCGGTTATGTTGTTAAGAAAATTGAAAACTACAACAACCGGTAGGATATACATGCTTCATTGTATTATATGTCTGCGTTTTTTAGTCTGAAACATTTTATAAAATAAAATAAAAACTTTATTACAATTTTAAAAGGTGTTTCCGAGAATATCAAATTGGTCGGTTTAGTGTTTCACGGTTTAATTTGATTTAACCAACTAATCCAAATTTATTATATTTCATAACTAATTATCTCGAATTAAGTATATTAAAAAGACAGTTAATTAACTTTTCAAGAAATTCAAATTTAAAGTATAAATAGAAAAAATAATTATAACTTCTATTTAGAAGAAGTATTAAGTATAATTAATACAATTATTAATTATTAAGTATTAATAATCACAAAATATTAAGTATTAAGTATATTTAAGTATTTTGAAAGTGTTACAATTATCACAAAAGATAAAACTAGATTCTAGCAGTTTCAAACAATTGTGAGATTTTGAATCACAATTCATACAGAGTAATAATTATCTATCATACCACCTCTTCTTAGTATTTACTATAAGTAAACAAAATCCAAAATTTAAAGTAAGAAATTTTTTCTTATTCAAAAAAATTTATTATTCATCAAACATTTTGTACGTTTTTTTTTTTTTTTGTCAACCATTTTGTATGTCTCATTCTTTAATTTTTATTTTAAGAAATACATGTTCTTCCTTTTTCAATGTCAAAAACAACATGTTGCACGTGTTCTAAGATTTTTAAGATACAAAACGGATTCAGCCGGTTTTGAAAATCGAATCGGCTTTTTTTTTTTTTGGTAGGAAACAGGGAGTCAAGCCTCCCTGTATATTATTACTGAACTAAAAATAAAATTACAAACGGACATGTTGTGGTTTTGTGGATTTTTATTTTCTTTTTGGGTGATAAACTAAAATGGATTATCTGGATCATTTTTGGACTGGTGCAATCAGACAAATTCGGTTCAGTCTAAAGAATGTTGAGTTAAAGCAATGTCCTGTTTATTTTTGTCATTTTGTGTTTGTTTGGTCAGTATCCAGTAGTGTATTTTAATAAAAGTAATGACACCACATTTATATTTTTGTTTTGGCAAATTGGCAACACACCGATTAGTTGTAAGTTTGTTTTCCTTTTTAACAATTAAACTGATTCAGAAATTTGCGGCTGGTCCAGCCAAAAAATAAAATATTTGTACAGCCAGATGTTTCTTCCTTTGTTACTATGTATAATGGCTAATCATCTTATCATTTGACATTAGTAACCGATTTCATTATGGCCATGTTCGGCGCAAAGTCGCACCGATAGCAATCAGAGAACAAAAAATAGCTTTCGCATTTCCTCAATCTCTTCTTCACCTCTTTTATCATATGTCGCTGCGACTCTTTTATGGTGATTCCAGAGACGCTGCGACTATTAAAAGAACACGGTCTATATATGTTCGATTTTTCGTCACTATAAATATCTAAAAGTTAAATATATATATATATAATTTTAATAAAAAAAAATTCCAATAAATTTATTAACTTTTTATTTGCACCCTATATTTTAGATTATGTTTTTTAAAAAAAATTATTAATTTTCTTTCATTTTTGGATAACAAATAAGAAAAAAAAACCAGTAAGAATTGGTTTTGCATGGAAAAATGAAAATGGATGGAAACATGACGACGAAACAAAAAAATGGATGGAAACACATATATGCAACATTGATTATATGTTGAGATTTAATCTGGATTGTAGTCATTTATTATGAATTATCTATATGTGGTTCTTAATTCTTAATTACTTATTCAGAGTTTCAAATACACTTTCTAGGGGCAGATAAAAATATTAATATTGAAGATATACCATTTAGGAAACATCTTGTGTTAATAAAATTTATTACTACTGAATTATAATCTGCATATGAACATCAATGTGGGTCTACTTTGTTTTGTGGTGTATACAAATCGAATCCGTATAAGTAACCTATATGCTATGACTAAAATCTGGATTAAAATGTATGCAAATTGATAAAAAGGAGGCTCCAATCAAACCGACCAAACCGAAAATTATTGTCCTTACGTCGCCGTCCAAAACTAGATTATCGAAGATAATTCCAATTTTGCTTTTGCCCCCAATATTAAATTTAAGGTAATGATAACAATTGTGATCGGGATCATAAAAGCAAGTTAATATACAATGGAATATGCTTTGGTGTGATGTATATCTATCTTTTCGTATGGACTGATTGCGTGGACGATTGGATCACTTATTTAGCCTAATAAATTTTCTAAAAGAGAATGATCCGGATTGGTTTAGATAGGATCAAGATTGCAAGGAGATTCTTTAAAAGTTCACCAAAACTGTTATCTGCATATATAGGTTGCAAAGAGGCGGCAATAGCGTTAAAAAGGCGATATAAATACTGATCAAATCACCTCGATCCTCTTTCTAGAGCACAGTGGATCATCCCTCCGGCTCCTTCTTTATTAGTCACTTGGTTTGGTGTTTTCCAATAAAAGATTGTAATCTGTTCTCTCTTTTGTAATTTTGTAGGTTTACCCTTTCCTGTTGGGCTCAACTCTTGGTTTCGTATTTTATAAAAGGTATGTGTTGAAGTAAAAAAAAAAAAATACGTACTGATCAATATGGATAAGAGTGACTATAAGCTCACACTCTTAAAATAACGTTATAAATGTGTCCCATGATAATAATTTGACTAGGTATACGTTTCTTTTTAAAAACTCTTTGTGAATAATTCTTCATTCAAATGATTTAGAGTATAGTAATTTATAGATGACTACTAAATTGATACATGATTTTTTCATAAAGTGTGAATAAAGATATATTACAGAATATGGTCAAATATTTTAGTGATTTAGTTATTAAATAGATACATCTTCTAAACATTCGTCATGTATCACGGAAAGAAAATTTGGTCGAGAGTGATATTTCCACATGAAAAACAATCGAAACACCTTACAAATTATCCTAATTAATACATGTTAGATTCAGTTTAAAAATGAATCCTCATATATCAAAACCACCGAATTGGATACAATATTAGATGACAAAAGATCGAGAATTGGCGAGTTATGTAAAATATATGTCAAATTAAGTTCTTGAACTTTTCGATGCTTGTGTATGTATTGGACCTTCGCGTTCGATGGCAATTTGAACACTTCCCATAAGTAACTAATAGAATTGGCCAAAGAGGTCCTATAAGGCTGGTTGACTAAAATGGTCCCATTTCGTTCACACTAAAATAGATAAGGGTCGGCTCTTTTCTGGGTCCAATATAATAATATACGTTACTTTCAATTTCAGTATTTAGTTTTAAAATATTCAAATTGTTCTTCATCATATTTTACATTGATTTTTATAACGTTTTGAATGCGAATAAATCAAATGCATATGTGACACAATGTCAGCCGTAGCTGACCTTCTTTAACTTGTCTCTATCACCATTCATGTCTCTCAAGGGTCCATTCTTCCTATCGCCTAACAATTGAATATTGATCACTTCTTTTACATAAAGAATATATCAAATCTGTATAAAATAGCAAATTACAAACCTTAACTTAATGATATATTTGATTACATCATATCTTTTTTTATAAGAAAAAAATGGGATGCGCCTTTATTTATATCTCTTCATCTCATAATACCGAATAATAACCAAAATTTAGCGACAATTTTAAATGTTTTAAGAATATAATGCTACTATGTCTTATATCTCTTCATATTGCACATATGAGAATTACCGCTTTATGATTTCTAGGGCTCCAATTTTTATCTTTGACTCTGAACCAGAGGGAGAACAATCCATCATGATGATGATCGCCGGCCAGTCGTCATTTATCTGACTCTCTTATCCTTATTTTTCTGATGACTAGAATTAGCTGCATATATATTGTTGTTTGATATTGACCATTGAATTTGTACAAATAATAATAGCTTATATAGGTCAGATAGGTGCATGCATGACTCCGTGATAATAGCACACCTTAATTACGATGTTAACTTTAATAGTGATCGATTAGTTATAGATATATTGTTGTTTGCCTCCATGATTAATTAGTTTTAGACATGGCTTGATATGCTACTAGTTCTACTATCAAGAAATAGAGGTTTACAAAATTATCCGGTGGTACTTTTGTTACAAAATAGAGGTTTATACAATGAACTGAACAAAATTGTGGTTGTGCTCTTTGGCGGACCTACTTGAAGCAAATGGGGATCACCTAGCCCTTGTTAAATTCCATATTCCCCTTGTAATTGTAACGTTGTGTGTTAAATCCAATCCGTTTTATCATATGACCCATTAACCATAATACTTGGATATTTTTAGACAAAATGTACCTTAATTGTTAATTATTCCTAATTTAGTCTTAGTTAAAATACTAGATTAATTACTTTAATACTTACGTTTAGATATCATATCCTAGTTCTTACAAAAGTTTGTTTATTTTCGATGAACTAATCTAACTTCAAGTCTTGTTTTATAAATGTTTTATATGTGATCAATTATACTATTGTGTATATTTTTTTAAATATGATTTAGAAATTACAAAAACATGATTTATATCTTTGAGTTTCAAAGTTTAACAATTTTGTGTCATCTACAAGTCTCTCACGCATATTTTCTGAGTTTAAAGCAATTTTTGATATTGCTGCAACAGTAGCATAAAGCCATAAACCATTGGAATTAAACTCCTTCGTTTAGATGATTTAACTCTCATTATGACATTATGTATTTAAAGACAATCTTTGTAAACATATCTGCGGTTAAAAATCAACACTCGACCATGTTTTCTAACGTTGTTGTTTATTGAATTGTATATCATGTAAGTTTAATAATGTTGACGAATAAGCTTTGTGTGATATAAATACAAAACGTCTTACAATATCAATGCTAGACCTAGAATAAAACCTATGAATTATAAAATTAAGCCGAATTGATTTTCATCGAAACCGAAACGAGAAAACAACAAAATTTAAAATTAGTGATAACCGATTAGAACAATAAACCGAACCGATTGTTCTCTTCGTTGGTTCTTCCCTTAATTGTATGAAGCCTCGCGGGAAAGTAAACTGGGGGTAATATCGGAAATCACAGAAGGCATTAAAAGGCGGGAAAAAGAGCCGTTGCGAACTAAAACTCTCAAACTATGGCGCCAAAAAAAAGACGGTGGTTGCGACTCTGCCCGTAAATTTTCTCGGGCAGCTAATTTCTATTCTTCTTAAATTTCCAATGTTACCCTTTCATTTCTTCATCTTCTTCAAAAAACTTCTCCTTTATTTGCGACCCCAAAGACAGAAGTCACAGAATATTATTTTGACTATTTAAATCTCTCTTTATCACATTTTCTTCTCAATTTTTTTCCTCCTCCTCCTTCAAAAAAAAAAAAAAAAACCTTTTTTTTCCTTTCACACCTAGAAAAATTGACCAAACACAAGTTTAATCTTTTTCCCACTTTCAATATATTCTCTCTTATTCCGATTCCTCTTCTTCTAATTGGAACAAGTCTCTGTTTTTATCTCTCTGTTTTCTTTTGGTTTTTACTCTGTTTTTTTCTTTTTATCTTGATTGGAGATAGTTCAAGAGAGATGGGTCTTTCGAAGAAATCTCAATTTGACGGAGGTTTAGATTCTGACGGGAAGAAATGGGTTATCGCCGGAATTTCGATTCAGGCTTCGTTGAAACCAGTGAAGACAAAACACAAAGCGCCGCCGGAGAAAGAAGCCGAAGTTGAAGAAGATTGCTACAATGAAGAGGAAGAGTGTTCGACGACACCGACAGCGAAGGAAACGAAGATACCGGAGATATTGGAATGTCCACCAGCACCGAGAAAACGACGGCCGGCGTTAAAATGTCGGTGTAACGCCGTTATAGAGTTCTTTACGCCTCCTTCTGATTTAGAGACGGTGTTTATACGGCGCCGTTAGTGAGTTTAGAGTTTTTTTTTTTTTAATATAGTTATCTAATTATATATTAATTACAGGCCATGAAAACTTTGGTTATTAGAATTAAGAATTTAGATTTTGTAATGATTTTTCTTAAAGAGTATTTGGATTTTAAATTATAGTTTCAGTTTGGGACTTCACTCTCTTAATTAGCTAAGTTTCTCTTGTTAGAAAAAGAAGTTTAAATGTTTAATGATGATGATAATGCGTAGCTTCTAAATTAGCCTTATTCCGTAATGTTGTTCGTAACATTTGGTTTCCTTAAGATTTTGGTTATACATATATAAACAAAAATCAGTGCAGATTTTATAAAAAAAAACAGTAAAACACTAATTTGAATGTAGAAAATTATAGACAACGAAGACTGAAGGGGAAGTGACGTGAGCAAATCTTACCAATTAGCTCAACCACCAAAATATAATACTAAATTCCCAATTATTTCTGAGAAGTCCACACGTCAAGCCTTTGACTCTATAGGTCTTTTTTTGTTGGTAAAACTCGTTTATAGGTTAATAACTAAAATGGGGGTGCGCAAAAAAAAGATAAGGTTAATACGTAACTTATATACATAAACGATAAAATATGGGTCAACACGTAAAAAACTTTTCGATATCATCATAAGTTGAAATTATTTTCCCCATCAACTAGTCAGGTAGACTGGTTATGTCATTCCATATAGAGTAGATATACATTCATTGTTCTAAGTGTTGGGTTTATCAAATAGTTTTAATTTTTTCTACTAACTAATGTCGTTTTGTTATAGTTTTATTGTTGTTTGGTATTAAAAACACAAAAGTCTCAAACAAAGGTATTTGTATAATTATTGTTACCTTATCTAATGTTCTAGTTGTGGGCCAATATAGTTTTTATTAACAAATAATATGGTGGGATCTACTATCAAATCTTTAATTTCAATTAAAAAAGAGATAAATCATACTATTTGAAAAGAGAAGAAATGAACAATTTTATAATGCACACATGTAATGTTTTTATATGATTTTAAGGATTTTGAAGAATTTCAATGCATGACTCTTTTTAAGGAGGCCTCTCTACTTCTAAAGCCATCCAACAAATATGATTCTTTTTTTTTTTTTTTCAGGTTAAAGAGCTTTTTGCGTGCACAATTGCACACTCACTAAGTCACTAGTGTCTTTAATCACTACTTTTTATTGTAATAAATTAATTAAATAAACGCATAAAACATTATGATTAGTAATTACTCATGCTACGCACCAATAGTACTATCCTCATATATTAAATATATGTGTTGCATGTAAGTCACTAATTCTCACTCTCTTTGTGTCCTTGTGGATTGAGTCATGAAAAGGACAAAATAGGGTTCAGAGAATAGCGGTGCGATGGGAGAATCCAATGTGGGACTTAAGGCCTTGTTTGGTTCCTTTACGAGACAACGACCAATCTCGTGTTTTTTTCTCCTCTTTTTTGAAATGCCAAATACAAGAGAAATATTTGAATAGAAGGAGACTATGACGATTGACGAGTTTGGATCATTCTTGTGAACGAGTTTATTTCACTGTCATGACTTTAGGAACTAATACATTTCTTTTCAAGAAAATTTAAATCGTCAGCGGAATGTACTAGTCAAAATGAGAATCCTAGTTTGAGGATTAGGTTCACCGTTCACAAGTCTGTAAATTTGTTCTTTTTCTTTTAAGTAGCAATTGCAAAACAATAGCTTTCAGTGTCACAACTGATGACAGCCGATTCTTCCATTTAGGGGAGACTTTAAAGATTAAATTCTAAGCATCTTCCAAAATGTGTAGTTTCACTTAAAAGCAGGTTTTGATTATTTAAATATTGGTCCCGTACACGGAAGCTTCGTCGGAGGGACGCTTCCCGCTTCGGAATCTTAGTAAGAATCGGAAGCTCTCGGAAGCTTTCAGAATCACACTTCCAAAAAATTCATTTCGAAAGCTTGTGGGAAGTTTACTATTCTATTTTGAAAGCTTGCGCTCCCATTAAAAAATTTTGATGACACAAAATAAATAAGAAATAAGAAATTATTTTTGATAGTTTTTTATACAACAAAAGAAAAACCAAAACTAATTTTTCTATTTTACTTTTTAAAAGATCATATTTAGAAAAATGACAACGGTGTGGATCATTTATTTGGAAGATGTTGGAATGATTAATTGAATTAAATTAATTTCGAGAAACTTGAGTTTGATGATGTTTCAAACAAAATTTCAAACAATTTTATTTGATGGAATTAGTAAAATGAGAATGAAGATAATGATTTCAAATTTTTGACTTTGAACTATTTGACTTTTCTTTAGTGTTAACGTATACTATTTGATTTTTAAATATAGTTGAGGTATTTAGAATTTATGTATTAGATTTGTGTGTCAGTTATAATTTTTTATATGATATAATGTTTAATGTTTATTATATATATATATATATATATATATATTAATTTATATATACGCTTCTAACACGTACCCACTTTCTATAATTTCTATAAGAATTGCTTTCATGTTTCCAAACGCTTCGCTATCGCGTACCTGCTTCTGACTCCTTGCAACCTTAATATAAGGATAAACATTGATTAGTAGGAGTCGAAATTGAATTAACTTATTAATAGAGATAAAATTGTTACATCTTGACTAAATGGATTTAAAAATTAATATAAATGACGGATAACCTATTGAATTGATTATATTTATTAATTCATCTCCATCATTTAAAAAACATAAAAGAATATTTTTCGGAACTAACGACTCAACAATCAAGATCATGTTATTTATCAGTGTCCAAATCTTATAGTTCTTCCGTTTTTTTATAAATGATGTTTTAAACTTCTAATTTATTTTTAAATAGATGATGTTTTCAATTTTCAATGCAAAATATATTATTTTTTTATTAGTTTTGACGATTTATATTCAGTAGATTGTTTATTTATTGGTTGATTAGATAATAAATGATATTAAAAAAAAAACATAATCAATGTATTTTCTATTCGACAATAGTACTTTTTTTTTTCGCCTAACATATATAGTACTATATTAGCATTTTTGTTCGCTATTCGACGCAAATATAGGCGTCATTTGATACTACACAAAGGTAAAAAGATCTCTATACTATTAAAAGAGAAGTACAAATGCAAATGGGTCGGGTCAAAATCAGAAAATTGACCCAAAATTCTGAAATCGGATCTTTGAATTTTTTTTGGAATATGATTTCTAATTAATATTTAATAATGAAAAATAGAACTAAAATATTGAAATCAAATAAAATATGATTGTATTTATGGTAACTAATTATAAAAGCATATTCCGAACAATACTATACATTAATTACGTATAATATATTTGTTCATATATTTTTGGAACTAATTCCATAACAATCAACGTTTTGTCATTAATTTTGCTTATTTTAGCCAATTAGCATTTATTGAAAGATATCTTACTTGCTTCAAAAGATTTCTAGAAAATTTATCACAACTAACCCATCTATTTTATAAATTAAATAGATATTTTTATTTTGGTCGTGTAAATTAAATAGATATGAAATCCATGTAACTAATTTTAATTTAATTAAATTAAACGAAATTATGGTATTTTCATACTGATAGCTTACCAAAGAAGTTTAATTTTAAAATTATAAAGATTTCTTGAATATGATTTTTAGAATTATTCAACAAGATGATAAATATTTATTAAATTTTGCGAATCATGAAAAATAATAATTAATTTTTAATCGTTATATTTCACTTTTCAAAGTTTCAATCTCTCATCTAAGAAATAGGATATAGATTCTATTATTCCTATGTCCAAACTCTATTTTGTTGTATGACTAAATAATATTTCCACTAGAGCTGTCAAAGCGAGTTGATTCGTCCCGTTAAGCCCGTTTTGTGATAGGCAAAATATATTTTGACATATGGTTAGTTGGTCCACACGACCCGCAGATAGCATATATGAAACACAAATCCGTCCCGCGAATGTATGCTGATTTGCGGGATTGTCCGTGGATTTTGTTTAAATAATTTTAAAGTAATGAATATTTAAAATACTACTAAAATAAATAAATAAAAAAATTAGAGGAAATAATTTTATATCTCATTATATTTATAAATATTATAATTTCATTTATTAAAAGTTTTTAAATTACCAAATGTTGAATAAATTATACTTTTATCAATAAATACTAACATGCGGGCTGATCCGCCAACCCGCGGACGAAAACCGATTAAAACCTATGATCCACTGCGAATCAATCCGTGTGGCCCGTTTATTTACGGGTTTAATATATTTTCACAAATATGCCCCATAGTGAGATGATTTGGGCTCGACCCACGGTTTTTGACTTCTTTTTACTGCTATGAATCATCTAATTTTAGAATTCTAAAACATAAAATTCTATTTTTAATCATAATTAATATGATCGGTTTAATTATAAACAATTTAACATTTTCTCTACAATTCGTTATTATGAATATTTATAAGTACACTACCCGATTCGCTCAACTTAAAACACGCACTATTAAAATCAACGTATGTAAACCAATATCTTCCCGCGGTGGACCGCGGATCCGATCCTAATTTAGGGTTTAAATCTAATCTCTCATGCTCAATAGTCAATATATATGCACCAGTATGACTAGCCGGAGTTGGTCTAATGTGTTCAGTTGTCCCTTCTGCAAGATTCAAAATGAATGTATTTTTCATATGTTATTTGATACTATAAAAATTCTATATATTTTTTTCAAAAGTATTGTTTAAAAGTGTGAAGTCTGAACTCTGAAGGGATAACTTCTTTTGTCTATTCTCTAGACCGAGCATGGCCGCGATTAGAATCTCGTATTACTTTCTTTATATCATTTTTTTTTCTAAAACGTTTTCGCTTCTTGATGTTTTGAAACTTGAGAATAGTCGTTTATCATATATTAATTACTTGACAATTTCACGATACATAAATCAGTTTCTCAAACGTAATGGTGTTGTACTCGAAATGACCATCTTCTAACTGGTTTACCTAATCACGTTTGTTTGTTTGTTTCTTCTCTATACATTGTTTTAAGCAATAGATATTCTTCATGTTTCGTATGCTGTGTTTTAGATACTTTCGTATTGTCTATTGCGTGAACATGATATGATGTGCATACATATTAA